GTTGCACAGATAATATAAATATATACAAAAAGTGAATGGCTAAATAATAAATATTGAACAATAATTTAAACATACGAGTGTATTTAAATATAGGGGAGGAAAAGAATTGGGTGGAGAGAATAGGGATTATAACTAGGCTTTTTTAAATAGACATTATTTCATAGATTTTCTTGAAATTATATAAATGGCTCTAAATTAACATTTAAATGATGAAAAATATCTAAATATAAAAAAATTCAAAATCGCTAACGGGGGCCAAAAGACAACATAAAAAATATAGTTTTATATTTCACCGTGATTCTTTTATATTTCTTTGCTGACTACTCAATATGTGGAGTTGAATTTTATAAAATAAATGCTCAATACCTGAACTCTAAGTAAGCATGCATGGTTCCTGTATTTTTCCATCATCTTCTAACAAACACAGGGAAATAAAATAATGTGTGAAATGAGTGAAGGCAGAGGAACTTTATTGTCTTGTCTTTATCATTTCTCTAGGAAAATAAAGGAAAGTCTGGAGTGTTTCCCCGTCAAATTGAATAATTTGATCCACACACTGGCACAAATGTCAGCCATAAGCCCTTCCAAATCTACCTCACAGGATTTCACTCTGCCGAGAGCAGCGAGGTCAATTCAGAAAGCTGCAATTTTAGGGTTCAGCCAGAAACACAGGCACGTAAGTATCAAGTCTATCAACAAGCCTCATTTATTTCATCTCAGATTTCCTTTCACTGTTTTACATTTAGCATGATTTTTGACTATGCAAATGACAATCAGAGTTGGAGCAGAAGTGCCATTAAAGAGGATGTTCTAAGGAGAAATCCGAACAATTGGAGCCATTAGTGGAGAACCTTCAGAGAACAGTTCCTGCCCCGTGGTAGGATATCAATCAAGCGCTAATTACAGCATCCACGAGAACAGAGCAGAAAGTAGGCAGTCTGTTTCCAGTGCACAGAGCGATGCTGTCTTTATATATTGTGTTTATAGATAATTCTGCTGTGACAAATTGCATTACTTAGCTTTTGAAATGTTGTAATTCAGAAATGGTCTTACTTTGTTTAGCGTATGTGAAACCTGATTTCAGAAAATATGAGAAAGTTCTGCAGGTGGCTATTGCTGTCTTTTTATTTTGGTCTATTTGCTTTATGCAGCTGTATCTAATCCAGGTAACACACCATGGCAACCAAACCAGCCTGACAGAAAAATCGTTTGAACAGTTTTCGAAGTTTCACAACCAACTTCAGAAGCAGTTTGCATCGTTGACTCTCCCAGAGTAAGCG